AAACAAACCTTTTTTTGAAGTTGATTTTTCTCATATTTTAGTTAGAGGTTGCTAGTTTCTTGATTTGTGTGTGTGTGTGTGTGTGTGTGTGTGTTTCTTCTAATTACTGGTTTTAAATTATGCTTTTACATTTTAATCTGATTCACAGGAATGTGTTTTTGTTCCTTGACAGCCTAGAGGCAGCAAAAGAAACTAAGGCTCTAATTAAAAATAATAATAAGATAGGTGGGAAAAAAAACTTTTTTTACACCATAGGCTCACAAAGGCTGATAGTTGAAAGGCAGAATTGGATGCAGCATCCGAAAAAGGCAAACATGCTGAATGGCATCAAATATAAAAGTGGATAGTTAAACATAGATAGAGTCATTAAAAAAAAAAAAAGGTTAGTACAAAACTAAATACCTCATTAGGCACTGCATTATAATAGGAGTAACTTCCCTTTCTGAAAATTATTCTTCCTACATCTCCATCACTAACTAGACATACATGCTAAAGTCAGAGATCTCATGGCTACAGACAGCAATTCCTCCCATTACTACTGATTTTGGAAACCCCCAGTATGTCCCCACTGTCTATGTGGTCAATTCACTGAACTCACACAATGTCCACAAATCCCATGCATTCTGCAGGAACCACCAATTTTCCAAACTGTCCCAAAGTTTCATGCATAGTTCCTGTATCCCAAGTGCACATACCTGCCCACGCTAAAATCAAGGAATATAATCTATATTCAGGTTGAAGATAAACCTGATAAATTCAGTATCTGTCAAATGAAAATGAATGACAGTTGGGCATTTAATTACACCCAGCACCTTTAAATATTACTGTTAAATATAGGAGCTGTGGATCCCCAAAGATAATAATTTGCAAATAAACTGGGCAACCTAGGGAGAAGTCATCAGTGAACATAGAAATGAAATTTCAGGATTCCATTTCTATCTGTGATAAAATTTGCATTCATGCCTTCAGGTGGGAAGCTTTTAGGCACTCTGAAACTCCTGCTGGCCAACAACATGGTTCTTGAGATGTTCTGTATCCTGTCAGCTACAGCTTCAAACCCACCAGCAAACCCTCCCTGACAGGTCTCATGTACTTGTCACTTGTGATATAGACTGCAGAGACTGAAGCCTGCAACCTATTTTGAGATAAAAGGCCTCTGGGAATTTATAGAAGGCCTGATTTAGTTCACAGAATTAATGTCAATATTGTATAAGCAAAGCTGTTTTAATATGGGCGGCATGGAAGATGCCACAGAACTGCATCATGTATTGTTATGCTTTATGTTTAATCACAAACAAATTTTAGCATAGGAAATATAGCCTGAAGTACACACTTTTCCCATCATGAAGCAATTTCTGACTGGAAATATTTTATATGAAAAAAGACAAAATTAGGCAAGCAAGAAAACCAAAATGAAATATAAAATCCACAGAATCTAATAAGCAACATTTTTATGTTGACTGTTCTGTCCTATTTTAACTCCTTGTGGGAAGTTATGAATCTTTCTTTTTTATTATATGTTATGCTTTTTGAAAAGGTCTTGCTGGGTTCAGTTCTAAGTGATTATTCCAACACTAGAACTTAAAAGTCTGTTGGAAGGCACACGTTTCAAGAAATGTGAGGATTCCAGTGGAAATTATAGGCACAAAGGCAAGGAAGAAGCTGAGCTCCAGAATACAGATACGGTACACTTGAGAAAAGACAATGGGATCTATGGAATCTAAAAATCTTCTGTCCAGGATTTTGAGCTGCCTAGTAATTGTTTCCTTATAAACCAACAGATCCGTGTAGGATTTACAGAATGCAAAGTCTGATTACATTACATGTATGTCTCTTGAGCCATGCTCACTCCCATTAATGGACAAAGCTTGGAGTTCCTCCTATGCAGGAGCTCAAGTGTAGAACTTGGTAACTAGTTGTTATTTGAATCCACCAAGGGGAATGGCTCACGTTATTTCACTGCTGATTTCAGGTGAAGGCACTGAATAAAAACCCAAAGGGTTTCAATTTATGCTTTTTATACCAGATGAGAGTAAATACAGCTGCTATGAAGAAGTGCTGCAATTGTGCACAAGACTCACCCCTTGCATACTGTAATGTCTTCCACTGAATCAAACTGTAACTGGCTGTCACTTCTTTCAATGCTGCAGCTACAAGGCAGAGACCCATGCAAGGAAACTTTTTCTGCAGAACGATTTGCAGCAAAATTGTAATGGGTACCTAATGGGTTCCCGTTGGCTTACCCACAGAAGACCCATAGAATGATTCCATCTACGACTAGCAAGGAGAATATCTCTCCTTGGGATTAAATGACAAGGAAGGAGTGTGCTGGAATTTTTCGTCTTAAGAATCCTACAGCGGTGGTCCCTCCATCTCTGTTTATCTATCACTCCAGCAGACAGAGGTGTTCAGAAACAGTGTCAGTTTTTAGTTTATATTGCATTGTTTCCCCGTCTTTCTTTGACAGCAAGCTGTGTGATGGTCAAAAATAGCAAGACTCTTTCACTTAACATAAATGAAGTTACAGCAGAATTCAACAAGACTTTCCATGACTGAAGGGTTTTCTGACTACAGATTAAAAAAAAAGTGCTTTGAATAACATACCACTTATTTTACCAAAATGTCTGGTTCAGCCTACTGAATATGTTCCAGCCTGCATTTAACATATCTTGAAAGGAACAAATGTAAAATGAAAGAAATATGTAACAAATATAATGATTCTTCATAGGAGTCATCTGGTCTTTGAGATGCAGCTTTAGAAAAAGTGAGAGTAAGCTATGGACTATAACATCTCACCAAAAGCATTTTGAAACACTTCTGTTCGAGAAGTATCATGGAACCAGACATTAAAGGATGAGAAAAAGAGCAGAATCTGTATCCCCACTTAGCATTTTTGAGAATGTCATAGTTTAATGTTATTATAGAGAGGTAAGTGCACACCCTCAACCTTTCATACACTGTAGTATAATCAGAAACATATTGACTTAGAAATACATGAATGCTGCCTCCCATCCAAATTAGGCTCCAAATAGCTATTTAGTAAACTGCTGCTAGATAAAAGAAGGCCAGAAATAAGAGAGGGCTATTAAGCTAAGGTCAAAGGGAATTAAAATATAACATAGGGTTGACTTCTAAAACCATCATATCTAGTTCAGACCTGCTGCCCATAGTATGCTTTTTATCATGGCCTGCACCACCCCAATTTTTGAGAATTCTGTAACTATGCTAAACCCTTTCCTATTATATGTTCATAGAGATGTTTGTTATCAGGAGAAATTGTCCCACATTTTTATATAAAAGTAACTTCTATCAAGGATGGTCCAGGAGTGAGTAGCAAAATAAAAGTTTCCCACCCTACACATATCCCATTATTTATCATCACGATCATCATCATTCCCCATCATTACACAAATAAATATTACAGTATATCCAATTCCCAGGGAATGACCGGAGGGATACTGCTTGCATATTTTTCCATTATCACCAACTTCACACTATTCCTTTCTCCAGAAATGCTCTTTTATGCTGTAGAATAATTACAATCTAATAATTTTATCCTTCTGGCAAATTAGTTATGCCAGATTAACCATTTAGTGGCATTATTATTCCCTTGGGGCTTCTTAATGGTATCACAATAACTCAGTCTGGGGTTCATTGCTCTGAACAGCTGTCTGCTCTCTGCTTCTGCTCCTGCCAGGCAAACAATCTGAAGCGTCATCATGTAGGCCCGTTCAATTTGTTTTTACTTAATTAACTCCAATCCAAAAGAACACTAAGGAGAGCTCCCAGAAGAGAAATGTGCTTGTTTACTTGAACACACATTTGAATCTGATGTTTTATCCCCCACTTTATCATAGCTCTAGATATGGTATGTGTGAAACTGAACCAAAATGAACGGAGTAGAATACAGGATGCAGGAATTCCTGGGCATCAGGCTGTCGGTCCACTCAATGCAAGATATACAGTATTAGTTCACACTTTGGCTGGGTTTTTTGCTGTTTGGCTTCTGTTTTCTTTTAATTTTTATCTGTAAGCTTCCCAGGGTTGCTATGGATTTGGTCAGACTAGAAACTGAAAAAATAACAATAAGTAAAATAATTTTTGCTTATAAGAATGTTCCCTCTTCTTGCCACAGTTATAATTAAACTTCCAATTAGAAGGATAGCAGGGAATTTAACATTTTCATTGCCTCCAGCAATGAAGCAAAGGATACTGAAGCAGAATTTTTATCTGAGGAACCCACTTTTACTACCTTTGTACCAATATATTTAAAGACAAATAGAATAATATGTGAAACATATTGCACGTCAAATAGTTCCACACCTTTCTGTTCAGCAATTACAGTATTTGCTACTGCAATTATATATCCTACTGCAATATACATAGTTTCTATCTTTCCTTCAGGGAATTCAAGGAAGCAGATGTTATTTCATTTTTGAAAATTCTAAACTACTTCCTATTAAAAACGTTAAAGCAGTTGAACCACTTCCTATGGTTTTCATACCCATCATAATGCTCAAACAGTAAGTCTGTTTATTTGCTTGTCTATTGTACACGATTTGGAACTCACTCCAATTATTCTGTATAAACTCTATTTCTAGCCTAACCTCATTTAGAAAACATCATGCTGAAGAAGAACAAGTTGGATCTATTTTCCAGTATAAGGTCAACAATCATAGTGGCATTATTATCACAATGCTCTGCTAAAGAATTATTTGCTTTATCTTATATTCCATTCCCAGTGATAGTCACCTAATAGAAAGGGAGCTAGGGAGCTTATTGCTAGGTGTAACATAAGAAAAGAGGTCCATGTATTTTTTTTTAAAACTGAAATCAGAGTCGTAGATATTTTTTTAAAATAAAGTGAATATGTTGAGATAATAACAAAATATAATTAAACCTAATTAGCAAAGCTTCGTATATCCATTTAAGCTAACGCCTAACTCAAAAGAAAACCATCAGACTTACCTAAGACCCCGTATTCTGAAAGAGAGCTATTGCATACGGTATAAGGAGCCTGTTGCTCCCAGAGATGATTCATAGGAACACAGGTCCTTTTGTCAACATCTTGATCATGCAGCATGTGGTGGCGATGGCTACCAAGGTTTTCCGAAAGACAGTTGAAAGGTATTTGAAAACAAAATGAAATGGAGTTATGAAACACTGAGCATTTGGGCATCTTAAGTACATTATTGCAATAACTATCATCAAGCCATCTCCATCCTACCACTGGTGGACTGAGGCCAAGGTACAGTGGTTTGCCTTTTACCAAAGGAGTTCACGCCTCAAATCCAACTTAAATCAGTGCTTTCCTTGCACACATTTCACATGCTTACCCACTGCAGTTGCAACAGTTCCTCGAGTACTGTATTTTTCATAGTCTTAGAGATTAATGCCTAATGCTATTCAATCAAAATCAGCATACTGTATACTAATAGCAATGTTCGCCCCATCCTGAAGATGACATGGATTAACAATTGATGTCAATATATTGACATAATGATTTTTTTTTTAAAATGGGGGAATGGGATTAAAGCTCCTAAACACCAACTGAATTTATGCTATCTCTCTGCCACTAAAGATAACTTTGGAATTGTTATGCAATGCATGAAGCTTTTAGAGGTAAGTGGTTATACTCCATAAAATATGAAGTGTGGAAGCTATTACACAACATGGCTGCTTTCCCTCAAATTATAATCAGCTGCAAAATTCTATTACTCATTGCCTTTAGACGTGAGCGGTTTGTATTGCGCCTGTGTTTCCACCTCCTTGAGCAATTCTCAAGACCAAGGCCTTAAAGAGCTGAATTCTTTGCTGCCCACCCTCCACATGCTCATTGCTTAGAGCCCTCTAGAGCTCCATTAATCAGCATTAGAATGGGGCACCAAGGAACATTATCAAAACAGAGACGATTGAAGTAATTACTGTAATCCATTAACTCCCTGAGCAAGACTAACTGAGTGAAACACACCAATATGTTCAGGTTCTAGAACCACTAAAGAAGGAAGGGCTATTACCCTGAAAATAGCTATTCTGTGTGCATATGCTTCCCCAAGCTGAACACACTGCAGACAGAAGCTCTGTTCTTCTAAAGCATCTAGCAAAGAACTCTTGGTGAAGTATATTCAGAAACAAATTAATATCATAAAACGAGACCAGCCTGAGTCAAAGGTGAGAGAATGACTATCAAAAGCTAATTGAGACAGCAAATTTAGTTCACTTCTCTCATTTAAAAAAAAAAAAGCAATCTTGAATGCCAATCTACAGTTTTCAGAATGAAACAGAGGAGTTATCCCATAATAAATGAGTTATCTATAAGGGATGGAAAGATTCTTAGTCATTTTTGCTGAAATATACAGAGGCAACTATTCCTTTGGAAGTGGAAAAATTCTAAATCATACTTTGGAAAGCAAACAATAAATGTGTAGTAATTTCTGAATGGTCTTCACATTTCTTTGAAATCTGAATGTGATAATCTCAACATCACAGATTTTGTGCAATTGCTTTCTGTTCTCCATGTTTAAGCAAAGATCCTCCTCCCACAAACACTGACCTGCCCCTAACACTTCTAAGAATTCTTGCAGTCAATTTAGAATTCAGTGATTCATATTCCCCTGCCCATGTAATTGTGTCTCGTCTCAGTTACAGAAAATATGCATCCCAAGGGGGCACGCTAACTTTGAGGTGGACTAATATTAGCATCAACTCTCAGTAAAATCTATATTTTCTTCCAAATGAATGGCAGGTGATTTACAACTCACCTGAAAGTCCCCCTTTCTACATCCTGCCCACTTAACCGGACATGGATACCCTCTTTCAATAACGATCCAAAAGCCATGTATTCTCCCAGGGCCCAATCCACAACCCGGTTTGTTGTCATTTCTAGTCGACTTTTCAAAATCCGAGAAAGTCCTAAATGCGGCATGAGAAAAAAAACATTAGCAACTGGAGATGTTCTCATCTGCAAGGCAAAGGGCAAACAATCTAGGTCAGTTATCCCAAAGAGCCAAAAGACATAAAACCATGAACTCCACGGTGACCTCATTTAAAGCTTTAATTCATTTTCCTCCCTGACTACTGTATATTTCTGCTAGCTGCACTACTGAAAGATAATCCAACCAACTCAATTCACTGCAAAACTTTCACACAATCAAGCTCCAGCTAGTTTTGGTTCTAGCTTGTTATTTATCTTCATTTGTCACTGTTACATAACAGAATACTTTGGGCAGCCATATACAGAACTTCACTATAATTGACACTTGAATATTCCTTACACTCGCATCATTAATGTATTTGCTTTTAAAAAGACTAAACCCTTAGACAAATATCTGTCCTCCATGCAAAGAAGTTCCAAACTCCAAACAACCTTGCATTTTTGCTTCACTTCTCAGTTTTATTTGCATTTTTAACCTGTACCCATTTGATCCAAATCCCTACATTTTTATTTATGTCTATTAAAATAGATTTATGAAATAAACAACACAATGTAACACAAAATAAAACACATTCTGCATTTCATTCATGAATGAAGTGATTTTTTGCTTAATTTGTGACATTTCCCAACAGAAGCAAAGGTTCTGTCTAGATCAAGAAAGCCCTGAATGCCATGCCTTTTGCATGAATAAAGCCTTCCCCAAGTTCAACCATTACTATATATTGAGGCTTAATACTATGGGCAAGTAATTGGCTATTTCATGAAGCAAGCAAGATTTCACTTTGTTGCAACGAACAATTTCAACTCTAGTATGACTGATAAATGGAAATCGAATCAGTCTAACAATTGTCTCTTTAAATTTGAAAGATTTACAGATGTCCATAAAGGAGCAAGCAGATGGTTCATAGATGTATTATTACTTTTCAGTGGTTCAGAAATGTTTGTCCAGATTTAATAAAATATTTATGCATCAAAATTTATAGCAACTAAAGAATTGCTATTAGCCACACTTCATATGCATGGCTTCCTTCAAATGCTTCCTAATGAGTAATGATATTGTAACTTAGTAAGAACATTTTTGTTAATTACATGCCACTTGGACACAAAACATTAAAGAGCTATAATTGAAAGCATTGCTATAAATGCTTCTCTGGAATTTTAATTGCATCAACCCCCTGTTGATCAATCTCAGAGGAAGGAAAAATAAATAAAATATAGCCAGCTCGTTGGATAATTTGTTATTAGACCAATACAGTACTGCATGACCAGAGATACAGATGTGAAAATAAACCAGTTCAGCTTGCTCATGATAAAGCTGACTCTCTTGAGAAGTTGGACAGTGACTAGGAGTACAAGTTTCAACAGAAGCTTTTTAAATATAGAGATACAGAATGATCACAGGGGCACAGCTCTTGATTCCCTTCAGAACCCGCCCTTTCCAGCTTCTTTCCTATTTCCACTTGTCTTGTAGTCCATCATGCAAAACCATTTTTTCTTTCAACCTTATATTTTCATGTGGAGGAATGCAAAGGTACAATGAGCTCTACCATTATCAGCATAAGGCTTGGGTTTATAATCAGGGAGCACATTCAGCCTCTACTATTACTTTATTTACTGTTAGATTAGCACTAATTCAACTCCCAGGGCAATGCAACATTTGCTACGTCATTAAAACTAACAACACCTTCATGATGGTTTCAGTTCAGTTACCTAGAAAAACATAGTCAATGAATCCCATTAAGATTATTTGTGTTCGTTTTTAATAAACCTGAAGAAAAAAAATCTGATATTCAAATTCAAATAGCAATGAGCTCTTATGACCACATGGTAAAGTGCTGGGAGCATGAAGGGAGATAAATGTTTTCTCTTTGGAAAACAAAAGTTGGAACTGGGGAGAGAAAGGAACAGTGTTGCACAGATACTTTTCTGAGGATCCGAGTGTGCAGCAGCACTGCCTCTCTGGAGAACAAGAGAAGCTGATATTCCCAGCCCAGAAGGAATCAAGCTGCTTCTCACCTCCATGTATTTTGAAGCCTTCAAGGGGTACGGAGCTGGCAACCTGCCCAATATGGGTCAGTACGTCCTCAGGGATGCCAGTGGGAGGACACGTCATACTCTTTGGTTCACCATCCAAGTTAAAAAACCCTGGAAAATGAAAGCCCTTTGGAATAGTATGCAAAGCCATTAAGTCTTTATCTCTATGAAAAATTAACTGAGGAATTGCAACCAAAGGTGGTGTATCTCCAGCATTTAACAGAGTATTTCTCTTCCACACTGACTGAAACCTGAAGTGGTAGGGACTGGAGGGGATGGGTCTACTGCATTTACACGTCTCCTGAAATCTCCCTGTGCATTATCTAGCACTAAAAGGATTAGCTTAGGGCTGCCTTGGCATTTCACTACCAGGTAATGGGGTGAGGAATTTTCTGAAGGGCAGAAATGTCTATTTTCAGACAGCTTTACCCCTGTCCAAATCCAGCACTCGACTGCAGAGATCCACCTGCCAACTTGCAAGACCAAGGTCATACCCTGGGAAAGGGCTTAGCCTCTTACACAACATGTGGATCCTACCCACTCCTATTATTCTCAGGTATTATTTATTTAAATTTATTGGCCGCCCAACTTTTTATTATTTCTGTGGAGATGACAAGCCACTGTTAGGTTGAAAACTCTTTTTGGCTTGGCCGTGTCAGTGACCTTAACAGGGAGGTATGATTAAAGTAGGAGATGGAGAGTGAAACTTTTTTAACCTCTTTTGTGGGAAGGGAGATTTGCTGAAGCTACCACTTCCTTTTTGCTTCTCAAACATGCTGGCAACAGCTTTCCCTTTTAAATGTAATATTGTAACAGCCCACACAAAGACAGACTGAGGATGACTTGAGGAGGGAGGGCACCCATTTTAACATATCAAGGAAAATAATAGGAAAGCCGTCACCACCATCAGGGATGCCTGGGAGTGTGTGTGTGTCAAAACAATCAAGAAGGCAGCCATGACTGCACCATCAAAGCCCCGTCCTCTTTACATGTGCCATATGCAGATACCCTTGACCACCACAATAATATTTAACCAGTTAAAACACTGTTTATTTTTAAGTGACAAAACTTTCGAGTGCACCATTAACCACGTTTAACAGGAAAAGAAGCCACTAAAAACCTAGGCATCTCAATGCAATTGGCAACAACTCTTGATACCTGGCCAAGGCGAATCAAGCCAGTGCTTAATGTGGAGAATTTTATTATCTTTGGACCTGGTGTAAGCTTCTTCACAAATCTTATCATATTTTGCAATTTCTTCCTATAGAATAGAAGGGGGGGGGGAGAAATCACAGACTGTAATCACATGGGTCTAATGACAATTATGGTTCCATCAGAGAGTGAGTTTTTAAACCATTCTTATCCAGAATCAATCTTTCTCTCCTCTTTCATATTTTCCCTTTTTATCTCCTTTTGAAAAATGCTGATGGCATTGTTGGTGTGGCTTAAATCTTGACAACAAGTAAATCTATTATGAGTTCCAATCCATTGGAAAACTGTGATTAACTGCAGTACCAATAGAAGAGAATATGTGTAGCTCAGAGTTGAACTGTGGAGTCCTTGGGGTTCTCTGTGCTTGGTTGAACCAAGCTCAGAGAACCCCAAGGACTCCACAATTAACTGCAGTTTTCAACATGAGGGGAAAGACTATTTGATTGCAAATGTTCATCTGCCCAAAGTACTCCTGATTCCCCCCATTTCCATGACCATCTTCTCACAAACACACACCTAGGATCCCCAAGTCTCTGGAGAGACCTATCTGTGTACCTAAGAGCATCAAGCAAGTCTTGCTGTTTCCTGATCTATGTTCTATAAATCACCAGGAAGGACATTCCTTAAAGCTCAGAGATAGCCCTGTCCCATCAAAGTCTGGCTAGAACATTCACAGTTTTCTGTGCATCCTCTAGGATTCTGGAGTAGATGTGCAGGTTTTGAAGGGCCCTCAATGTGGCCACGCTGACCATTGTGGATGATGCCTTGATACTTTGAAGAGCAGTTTAGGAAGGACACTCCGCTCTAGGGGGCCCAGTGAGTGAAGCAGCCTTCTGAATGGTTTCCCAGCCCTAATAATTATTCAGTCCTTGAGACTACATCATTGTATTTCACAGTTTAAGTCCTCACTTAACCAGTGAGCTTACCTGATGTCTTTGAACCCATCTCTATCTTTCAGCCTCTCATACTGATAGATACTGTGAGGAGCCCCTTCTCCCCCATGAACAACAGTGTAAAAAAGTAAAAATAAATAAATATAATCCCACTGTATTCTACCAAGAAGGAATAGCACATCAGAGATTTTCTGCCCTCCAAGTCAAAGTGTGTAGGATTCAAGATCAGGCCAATTATTTTGGGAACTGTGAAAGAAAAAAAAAAACATACTACGGGAGCAATGTTCCTTTGCTCTCTGGCAGCAGAAACACAACAATAATAATTTAAATAACATCTGCTACTCTTCTCTGAGGCAACTCTGCTTAACAAGGCACTCAGAATCTTTGGCTGGCCACTGTAATCAGTTATTGCCTCTAATTACGCTGAACCCCATCTCTCCGAAGTCCTCAGGCATACAGAAAGGATGCTGGTAACCTGTGAGGAGTTATCTTGGGGTTTATGCCCCATTTTAGAAATAGTGTGGTGTTTGCAACATTGCAATCAAATCTTCCATCCCTTGTACTTCATTGATTTGCCTTTGCCTTTCCATCTTTCTGGTTATTATTCACTCATCATCTGTGCTGTTCTTCATTGTCAAGTTTTACTTTATTTTAAAGACTTAGAAGTAACAATTTGGCTTCCACCATTAGTTACGTATAGAAAAATAATAATAAATGGAAAGATGCCCCAGTTAGAGCAACAGATTCTAGCAACGTTGTTTATCACAAAGCCAGCATGTCATGGGCTACCTCAAACTCTTGCAGTGTTACGACTCCATCAGCAATCAGCTGGTCAGCATATTTTTTCAGCACAGGCACCTGCTTTGAAATCTGCTTGTACATCAGAGGTTGAGTGAACATGGGTTCATCCATTTCATTATGGCCTCGTCTTCGATAACAAACCTGCCGAAGAAGGTTGGATTTTCATCATGATGAAGTTTTATCACCCTCACTCTCTAACACAGAGAAGAAATTAACTCCTTTTTTCTGATGCTTTTTCCATTTTCATATAAAATGGTGCTCAAACTTACAAAAGTATGAAATGTTCATGTGTATATAATGCATATTCTTCTTTGTTGCTATCCACCCATTTGCAAGATTTTTAAAAAGCAAAATATAAACTGCTGCCAAGTATAAGTGGTAAAATACTTTTTTTTATAGAGAAGAATTTCCTTGATTTCCTGCAGAGTGAAGCATCTAATCATAGCAACATTGGATCCTATTTTTCATTGACTTCTACATACAACTAAGAGAAATGCGCAGCTTACCATTAACACTGTATCACATTCAGAATTTTTTGTACAGATAATTTAAAGAATAGAATTTAAAAAGTACACGCACCCCTTTCAGAGCCTATCTATATAAATGCAAGATTGTACTGATTGTTTCTTCTCAGGAAGCTCTGCTCCTGAGCAATTCTCAGAAGAGGTTTTTTAGCAGCACCAGAAAGCACACTGATAGGAAGCGGTTGCTTTAAAAAGCTCTACTGTATACATGGGAAGGAAGATTATATGTAAACATTTAGATCTCCAACTGAGTAAAGAATAAGAGCCCTTACCAGATCTATAACCACATCTTTATTAAAAGTGTTTCTCCACTCTGCAGCAACACTGCACACATACATCACCGCTTCCGGATCATCAGCGTTCACATGGAAGATGGGTGCATTGACCACCCGAGCAACATCTGTTGGATACGGAGATGAGCGAGCCATTCGCGGATCTGTAGTAAAACCAATCTAAAATGCAAGACTAATTAGTTAACGGAGTAATTGCAGTGTTCCTCTTTCTTTACCTCTCTGTTACTGAAAGTCATTAAAGTGAAGTCCTTGGTGTTCTCTGAGCTTGGTTGTTGCTTGCAGACATTTCATTACGCAACTAGGTAATATCATAAGCACCGATGATGTTACCTAGTTGGGTCATGAAACGTCTGCAAGCAAACAACCAAGCTCAGAAAGCACCAAGGACTCGACAGGTCAACCCTGAGCTACAGATATTCTCTTCTACTGGAGTCATTAAAGTGTCTGAGATTTAGGCTTTGGTACTTACTTCTGTGACAGTATCATATGCTTTTAGATCTGGCATATGTTCTTAATTTTTTGAAAAATGTACTATTTCATTCTTTTATTTGATTTAGCAACATTTTCATTAGTGGACGAGATAGGGAAAACAAAAATCTACACATTCTTTGGCAATTCAACATTTAGTCTGAACAAGCATGATTAAACATTTTGCTCCTAATTTCCCAGTTACCCAACACAATATTGTTTTTTCTGGTGACATTTGTCTTTTAAAAAAAGAGAAAGAGAACTAAATTTCCAACCTAGTGTCCTCCAACTCTATTGGCGTAACCACTCTGGTTGACTGGACATTCTGAGAACTGGAATTCTTAACACATATTTTTCTGTCATGGGACAATTTGGTTCCATGCAGGACCAAATATCACATGGTGTTCTGTTATCTATTACAATAGTTTCAAAAAGAGTTGTTGAAAGATGCTAATGAAACTCAAATTCTTGAGGGTATTTTCTCCAATGTACCTGATTGTTGACCACAACATGAATAGTGCCATTTGTGGTGTAAGACGGAAGATCACTGAGATGGAAAGTTTCATAAACCACTCCTTGGCCAGCAAAGGCAGCATCTCCATGTAGAAGTATAGACATAACCTAAGTCATAATGGGTTTAAAAATAATATATGTCGTTACCTATCAGCCAACAAGTTACAAAGGAGCATGACTGTTTTTGGATGCAATTCACAAAGAGGATGACAAAGGTGGTGCAAATGTTTTGGAAGAGGAGCTATGAATGGGAAGTGACTGCATGAACCACCTCCTTTCCAATAATTAAAGCAATTGTGGGGTTTTTTTTTCCAGGCTTGTGCAGTGGAAAAAAGCTGCTGCCAGATCTCCACACATGTGCACCAATGGAGCCATGTTATACTGTGAACAGCTCCCAAAGCCACCAGGTAAGTCTGGAAGAAGACATGGCTGCTTTAACAATTTTAAAAAGAAGACCTTTGTATCTCCACAGGTCCTGAAGCACTTCTTCTGAATATGCAGACCCCTACTGGTTATGCCCTCAATGTCTCAGGGCCAGCCTACTTAAAAAAGCTCCTGGTCATGAATGAATTCTCCTGCTTCCCTCCAGGTTCTCACTTCTCACCAACCAAGATACTACCTATACAAAACTAGGCCATTTTGTGGAATGCCTTCCCCACTCTGCGCTCATGAAATCTTGGTCTTTTTCTCCAGCACTTGCTGGCTTTATGTAGTGGATCTCCCTTCCCTTCTCTTTCATTTCCTTTCAAAAATATAGTTATTCTATTATTCTCAGCCAAGCCAGCCCACTTCAGTGAATATAATGTATTTTTAAAATTTCCATATTTTTAAATTCTGTTTTAAAAGATCATGCTGCCTTCTTTGAATGTTGTTAAAAACAAAGTCATATAAAAATATTTAAAATACAATATTTTCCCTACTCCGATTCCACATAACATATCCTGGAAAGAATGTAATGCTTCAATGAATCTTTTTCATGAAATTACTAACAATTTTAGTTGTTTAGTTTAGTTTAGCTTTTTTAGAAATTTTTCCCCAAATAATAAACTTGAAACATAAAAAAGAACTATTTTACACAGGAGTTATTTTAAATGATGGGCAACGTACAACATTGTGCCAGCTGAAAGTGTGCTAGAGGTATCCTTCAGCTGCTAGAACCACCAGTGGTGGAAGCCCTCGCACAACTAGCACTAGAAGCAATTAGCCAAAAGAAGTAATGATTAGCGCATCAGTCTGTGAAATAATTGCTTATGAAAGTAGTTTAGAATATTGGATTTGACAGTGACATAAGGTTGAAAAAAGGCGGAGGGGAGGGGAAATAATCTTCTAATACTTCTACAAGTAGTTGAAGTTTTGCTCTAACAGAATAAGTCCACACACAACCTGATTAGTTCTAACCAAAGGGTGATCCTCAGAGACATCCACCCAAGGGCATGAAGGCAAGCGGCCTACGCATCATGCCTTCATCCCCCAAATTACTTGAATTATGTACTTGCATCATTTTAGTTATAACCCGAGTGCATTATGTGCATCATTTGCACAATGATGCTATGACATGCCAGACATATTTTGGATGCCATCATGGCTTCTGCTGAACATCCATGGTGATTTCCCACTCAACTTCTTCTATAAATTCAACTGGAGTCAAAATGAGCTTTGAAAACTGAAGCTATATGAAACTAAACCGAAGCTATTCAGACAATGTTACCTTCCTTCCCTCAGTATCCCCTCGGTAAAACTGTTCAGCTTTGGTTTTTCCTTGTACAACGGGATCTACTGCCTCCAAATGAGAAGGGTTGGCCACAAGGGACAGGGTGATCTTTTTGCTTGTTACTCGGTTGATCCTCTCGTGGTACATTCCCAAATGATATTTTACATCTCCAGATCCCTTAGGCAATAAGAAACCATGAATGTTAATCTAAACATATACTAGTAGGATGGACTGGCAGAATGCTAAACAGTTATTTGTTTAGCTAAACTCTGACTTATTTGTATGTCTTCATCTGAACCAGCAAAGTATTCCCAGAATTCAAAGTCTCCAGCTGGCTCTTGCGAATTTGAGCTTCTTTTAACTGTATTTTGTTCTTTATTTCATAACTTAGCTGAGTCCTAGAAGGAGAGTGTGTTCTCCATTACGTTCCTGAACTGCCCAATAGCAAAATAATTGACCACACACTCATATTCTGCCTATGGCTTCCAGAATGGGTATGCAAAAGTCCAGGTAACCAGTAGATGGCAGAAAGGGCTAAAGAGTTTTCTGTATCTCTTTGTTGGCTTCTAGTAGTCATCTGAACTTCTGGTAGCCTTCCCTTTTCCATTCCTTGGCCATTCCATACTTTGGTACAATGGTTTGATATTCATAGAGGCAGCAGCAGAAGGCTACAAATCTACTTGAAATAAAAAAACTACATTCTGATAAACTGAGAGTGGAATCCTTGTTTTTTTTAATATATAATGTAAACTACTATTATTCAGTGATATGGCAGAGCATGAACTATATGTGTTGTCTTTCATAATCCTACAAAACATGACATTAATTAAACAAAAAGTAACTCCAGGTTTTATGGAAAGCGATCACGTTGCTGAAAACCAAGTGCCCATATAGCATCGTGATCAAGAGAAGCAGTTGTAGTTGACAATATTCTGAAAAGGAAAGGGCTGTTTCCCACCTCATCAGCTGCTTCAAGCTTTGGGTCAAACTGACAAAATATCTGTTCCAGTTCCTTTCGGATAACATTAGCCAACACATTCAGTCTTCCTCTGGGAGGGAAAAAAGCATCCAGAATAAATCACAAAGAGGAAGAATCAGCAAATCTATGCCAATAAAATATACTTCTTTTAAGAGACTTGATGACTAAGTTCTTTTGTTCAGTATCATACATTATTTAAATTTTTATAATTTTATTATTTCTTTGCTTAATTTTTATTATCATTTAATTTATATCTTACATAAATGTGAACAGAACAGTTTTAAAAGATAAACAGACTTTTTATAAACACTGATAAACAGAAATAATTTGAACTGCTAAATTGCCAAATTTTAGGACTAATGGACAAGAATATTGGGGAAAAGCAGCATGCAAAAGCATGAAATGTTAAGATTTTTTTGTTGCAGGTTTATTACTTATTATTTATACTGACAGCAAAGCAAGAGGTTAAAAAATAGTAGGAAAAGGAGATCCTAAGAAAAAAGATTTGGAGAGGTTCCCCCTCCCCCCCAAGTGTGATATACTGAAGAGGAATGTTCTTGGGAACAGAATGAATTAGCACAAAAATGACTATAACACGCTAAATGAAAAAAACTTAAAAATAGTATGAGGAAAATAGTCAGCTAAACAGCCTACACTAGAACACAGGGAAAAGTAAATATAAAGATTTGGTGTAATCAAATAATTGAGAAGCTCAAAAGGGAATGATGTTCCATACAAATCTAGAATTTGTTACCTTTAGGAAATTAGATACGCATTCATTTATGAAAAGCAATATTCCTGCCTCTCTTATATAAATTAATCCTTCCTACGTGCAATGTAGTCTTCTTGTTCAGGAATATGCCATTCTGCTGAGAAAATCAGCTCTTAATCATAGAATGTAATGGTTTGAGGAACTGATAAAGCCTGACATGGCTCAGAGTTAAATGCATCCAAACCGGCTTCCAATTCAAACTCAGCCTCCAAGTTGACCAAGATCTCCCTTAAGATTTTTGGCAAATGTAACTCACAGATCAAGACTCTGTTTCGCCACCTGATCTCATTCCTCCAAGGCGGCTTGAACTACAATTGATGATTACAGAGGGAACTCCTTCCTCTCCCTATCCTGAACTCTCAGCAGCCCTGTGGCTGCTGTGTCTGTTTCAAAAAAGATTTATGCAGTGTTAAGAGAGTCATTCCATTTCAAGTGGAAATATGAGCTCTAACGTCAATACATAAATGTGATTTGCTCCTAATGCCATTCTACAAGTGGGACTCAAACCTAGTGGCATTCTACAGCCAACCTCTAAAAAAATTATTAGAGACCAAAATCTCTACTAATATTCAGCAAGTTATTGAAGTGAGTAAGTGCAAGCAAGTTCACTGTTAAGGAGTCAGATAAATCAGTCAGGCAATTACCTGTGCGGCATGCCCATTATAACATACTCAATTCCCATTTCACTCGATTTATCAATGATAGTTTTAAGAGCAGGAATCATTACTTCGCATCCTTCCAAACCAAAGCGTTTTTCTGATGACCATTTCCTAGCAAGGAAATCCTCAAACCTGAGGAAGTGAAAAAGCAACTATTTATTATATACAAATTCAAGTCTATTTCTAAAACAAAGAAGCAAACATCCACTGATGTAGCACATATATTAACATCAAACAATCACAATCTTAGAAATTACACTGAATAAAACAGCAGTGCATGGTTATTTGCCAGCAACAACTGAACAGGAATCTGTTCCTTAATAATCAATACTCAGAGATGTCATTTTTTAAAGGACAAGCCTAAACAGGGTCTTCCATGTTAATTCAAGTGGGTGAGAGGTAATACATACAGCTGGAAGTGTTTCAATTAACCCTGAAAAAGACATTAATAAAGCTTAGAAATACTGACCTTAAAAGGGGAAGGTGTCTACATGAGAACTCCAAGAATCACCAAGATTATAAAAATGTATTTACATTATGGAGCCAATTAATATTATGCATTATTTAATCAGCTTTTAAAATCTCTGACTTACTATCTTCTCTTCCCCAAAGAGATTTCAGCATGACTCACACATTATTAAAAACATGAAGTAAAATAAAGTTGCTATATTTTTCTAAGATACTATAGCTATAGGTAACACACTGTGTAACACACATTGTAGGAGGAAAGCCACGTTAGTCTACGGTAGCCAAAATTCAGGAGTCTGGTAACACCTTTTCCGATTAACACTTTTTATTCAAAGGCATACATTTTTAATGTGTTAATTGGAAAAGATGCTACCAGACTCCTTTTGATTCTATGTAACACAGAGTAACTCTGGTATAAGTTTCTTGCAATGAAACTTAAACTTGATCTTATGTGGGAGGCATTCCCACCAACCCAAAAAGTCTCACTTTGTTGATGGAAGCATGACAAGAAAAACACCGTTAGGTTCCTACAGTCACTATTTTTTTTCTTGTCCTATAACAACTATTTAATACTAATACACATATATAAAAACCAGAGCCTCCAAGTAAAATCCAAAAAGGTACACCACAGAAAAAAATGTTCATTAAAAAAAAAAAAAAACCAAGCCAAG